CTCTTTCTTCATGGTTTCACTGGGTCGGACTGGTTCTAGTTTGATTTGTGTTGCTGTCTTTAAAACACTTGTGTCTTGTCTTTACCCTGTTGCACATCTAAACTTTGTAGTTTGACAGAAACTGCTCTTCGTGAACAAAGGGATGGGTTTGCACTCTTCTAAAGCTTGGAGTTGGTGCTTCATGTTCTGGTTCTGACACATTCACACACCCTGCAGCATCCTCACCAGATGTGGACGCAGCTGAGCGCGCCGAGCCCCAGGCCCAGCAGGAAGGCCGCGGGCACGGCCAGCAGCGCGCTCAGCAGCCGGTACAAGAAGAACTGGACCAGCTCGAAGGTGGCGTGGCTGACGACCCACACGCTGTCAAAGCTGTGCGTGGCGCGCGGCTCCGCGATGATGTCCTCAAACCCCACCTGTCACGGCAGAGCGCACAGACACAAAATGATGGATTCACGCGCAAACTCAGACTTCCGGATATTCACGGAGCAGCTGAAATGCTCCTGAAGCTTCAGCTTGTGCACAGTTTACCTTCAGCTGCGCGTTCATGCGGCTCGGGTCTCGGTCCTGCGCAGCCTTCTTGTTCTTGGACACCATCGGTTCTGTTGATCCGTTCAGCTCGTCCTGGTCCACAGTGATGCTGAAGTCCGATCGCTGCTTGTGCACACCCATGGTGGCGGGTCCGCGGCCGGAGAGCAGCTGGTGACTGTGCGCCGCGCGCCGCGCGCAGCCCAGGAGACGCAACAAGAGCGCAGTCACACTGCAGACTGCAGACCCCAGACCAGTTCTGCAGCTCGGAGCTGAGAGGCTCTCTGTGCAGAGTTCTGGTCCCGGGTCAGGAGCCGTGCACGTTGCAGACAGACAGCTGTTCTTTGTTCATCTGCACGAGCCGCCAAGGCTTCTTGTCCGAAACAACAAGTTGCGCTTGAATTTACAAAGACACAAAAGACTGGAAGCAGCCGAGGGTCCGCGGGCCACACTGGGCCCTTGTCAACATATTGTGTGGGCCCCGAGATAAGGTTTTAAATGTACTAGAACTTTTCCATTAACATATCAAGTTTCAGGTTCTAATTTAGCGGAACAATCGGAGACATCCTGACCCCGATGATCCAGAATAACGAGACAAACAACCACTCTCTCTCACCTGGGACAATTAACAATCAGTCTAATGTTTTTGGTCTCTAGGAGAAACTGGAGAACCTGAAGAAAACCCTCGCAGCACGGAGAGAACATGCAAACCCAGAAAGGTCCTGGGCTGGGATTTGATCCAGCAACCTTCTCGCTGAGAGACGACAGCTCTACCCACTGATCCACCTTTCAGAAAGGACGCAGCAGCTTATTTTCCACTTTATATCCGATAAACTTCAAAAACGAAGTCATTTTACTGGTTGCTTGTTTTTCTCCTCACTTCAAACTTTGATCTTGTGTGAGATGATTATGAACCGACAGGAAACAATAAAAGACAATAAAACATGTTTCAGGAGAATCTTTGCCAAACTAACTTGTTCTTTTTATAGTGATTTGTTGTGTCTGAGTTTTCATCCCATCAGGTGTTTAATGCTTTTAATGCTCTCATAAATCTGTCAACAGAAACTGGGCTTCTTTACAAACTAATAATAAAATCTTCAAGGTCAAAGTGACGATAAATTTCTACAGAACAATAGGAAGTAAATAAAAAGATGTGATATTTACCGACTGTTCAACTCCGAACAGGATCATCGATACAAGATGGAGACTAAAGGTTTTATAAACGTTCCGCGGAGTTCTGTTAAATCCATCATTGAAAAATGGAAGGAACATGGGAACATGTGTAAATCTAACCTCACGAACGGAGGCCGTGAAGGAGGAGAAGAATGAGAGAGACCTGAAGGAGGTACAAGCTTCAGCAGGTGACATGAGACTGAGGTGCCAGAGTTCTTCACCAGTCTGAGCGACACTGTCGTAGAAAACTTAAGTCTCAACTGACGTCTCTAATCTAGGGGTGTCCAGTCCAGACTCTCACGGGACACCCTGTATGTTGTACCTGTTTCCTTGATTCAGTGGTTGAATCCCCTCTTCATGTTCTGCAGAAGTTCATCGTCCATTTATTCAAATCATGAGCGCTGGAGCAGAAAAACATCTAAAACATGCAGGATGGGTTAACGGGTTGTTAAACATCTACGTTTACCCACACAAGGAAACACTTGATTCAATAATTATTTTTAACGTAGCCTGACCAACAGCTCCCCTTGTGTGAATGAAGCACGCTCCGCTTCTCTCAAGCATCCTAACAATCCACTTTGGTCGACAACTGCAGCTCACAATACAAACCAAACACGCTAGCTAAAAGGCTACATGCTACAGACGTAGCACTTCACTTCTCTTACACATCCCCCCCCCCCCCCCCGCTCCCGCTCCTGCAGGTAAAGGGTGTTTCCCTTATCTGACTCGTGAAAAAATAAATCTGATCCTGGCCTCATCACTGATTCCATATTTCTTCCAAATTTATTCAATATTTTGGTGAATCTAAGGTTTGAGAACTGAGCTTCTTACAAAACCCTAACGATGATTTCTTTATTTTTCAGGGGTGCAGAGTTAAAATTTGGCTGTGATTGAAAATCTCTCCCCCCCCCCCCCCCCCCCCCAACACGCACACACAAAGAGGCTAAAATCGCCACTGGTCTCCTCAAATGATTGGAGGTGGCCAAAGATTATTTTATAACGGTCAAGGCCACCACTGGCCACCCCCTGGCTCCTCCACTGCTCCTGGTGGTGGATAAAACGTCTCCCTCTCTGTACTCTGCCTTTTTCTTTAAATGTTATTTTCTAAATCCTAATACTGTCATGAAGAGGTGCTTTACATGCAGTATTTGTACATTAAGAGATGGACACTAAATTACAAAATCAGGCAACTTAACCTATTTTTGATAATAAATGGCGCTCAGCCCGAGTCATGATTGATTTGACACTTTTATCTCAGGAAACTCCAGTTTCCTCCAATTTGTAGGAAAGTGAAGAACAAAAAGGCAAACCCTCAAACTTGAAGCTTCTCAGCACACAATCAGCACAAGATCCTGGAGCCAGGTCTTCACCTGCACAGATTTATGGCTCTCTGAGAGCCTCACACCTTAAAGTCACCAGTCAGCATTGTTAGAATGTGCACGCTTCAAGCTCTGAGAGCAAAGGAGCCACAACAGGAAGACGTTTTCCACCCAGCGCTTCTTGTGGAGAAGAAAAGCTTTTCTGAAAACAAAGGAGAAAACTGAGGATATTTAAAGTCCACACAGCTCAGAAAATGCCTGGATTTTGTTATTTCAATTAAAATAAACTCAAATCAGTCTCTGTGAAACTTGTTTGAACATTTATCTGAAAATAAAAGTTGCTTTAGGGCAAACCTGAGTTGACCGTATACTGTAGACGCCCTTAAAGTAATATATTGATGAAGACTCTTCTGACTTATTGACAGCTTTCGTTTTGAGTTAATCACCCCCCCCCCCCCCCCCCCTGGGAACATTTATCAACTCTTTTTTTGTTTGATAAACTGTTCAAAATTAGTCAAATTGTTCGATAATCTCTTGTGCATGGCTTTCTTCAGGTCACCACGCTGATTTTATAAATTACATTTCAGTCTGAATTCTTGCTAGGGCGGTCTATAACTTTTATCTGCTTTTGTTAAAACCATCATTTTTTATTTTAATGTCTTGGGGTCATTTCAGTTTTGAAACATAAAAATCTTATTTCTGTAAAGAGACTTCTCAAGTTGTGGATGAAAGCACGAACACTACGGGTTCTTTACTTCAGTCATAATTTATAAAGTCCATGAAACTCAGTGCTGTAGAGTTCAATACAATAAAAACATTTAACACTAATTCAATAAGATAAAAACAAGAATAAAACAATAAACCCAGAAAAATCAAACGTGACAGGAACAAAAATCAAAGATATGAATGAGTTTGGAGTGAAGATTTAAAAGCAGATAAGTCAGATTAACGTGCAAAGACATTTTCATCCACAATTTAGACCCAACAGCCCAAAAGCCCGGTCCCCGCTGAGCTTAGACCTGGTTTTAGGTCCAGAGCTTAGACCTGCTTTTAGGTCCAGAGCTTAGACCTGCTTTTAGGTCCAGAGCTTAGACCTGGTTTCAGGTCCAGAGCTTAGACCTGCTTTTAGGTCCAGAGCTTAGACCTGGTTTTAGGTCCAGAGCTTAGACCTGCTTTAAGGTCCAGAGCTTAGACCTGGTTTTAGGTCCAGAGCTTAGACCTGGTTTTAGGTCCAGAGCTTAGACCTGCTTTTAGGTCCAGAGCTTAGACCTGGTTTCAGGTCCAGAGCTTAGACCTGGTTTCAGGTCCAGAGCTTAGACCTGGTTTTAGGTCCAGAGCTTAGACCAGGTTTCAGGTCCAGAGCTTAGACCTGGTTTCAGGTCCAGAGCTTAGACCTGGTTTTAGGTCCAGAGCTTAGACCTGGT